CAGCTTGGCAGCGTGGACCTTTCTATGCTCTATCAGTCTCAGCTACAAAAACAGATCACTAGCTGATCATTTCCCTGCACCTGATTTCATTTCTTTTAAGAGAAATACTTGAAATAATCTTTCTTTGTTTAAGACCATTACAGTTAAGTTGATTTTCCATCTCTCAGAACCAATTTCTCAATTTTCAGATATTTCTGGAGGAGCACACCGCATCGATACCCCCAGCTCCAAGGTCACAAGGAATTTCTAGAGTAAAGGTCCCTTTGGAAGCAAAAATGAGAGCCATGCCGACCTCTGCAGAGGGGCCAAGGGGCTTACCCCACCGGGCAGAGGCAAGGGGGGAAGAGCCACCAATTCCTGCTTGAAATGCATGACCAGCAACAGTCTTTGCTAGTGCAAACAATGGGTCTGCAAATTTTCCATCTGTTGCTATCATACTTCATGTACTTTACAGAGCGGTGGTATCTGAGGGAGGTATAGATCCAAGGGGGTGATTCAGTTCTGATCTACAGCTACTTTACCTCTACTCTCCTATTTAGGCATCGATTTCTGAAAACTGATGAGCAGCTCCGGTACTTTTTTCCTGCAGAACAGTCCTTACCACCCACATAAATACCTACTGAAGTCTTATGTACAGCCAGAATAATACATTTTTATTAAATTTTCATTGAAGCTAAGAATACTTAGTCTGTAGGGAATAACATTGACTATTTTTCTCAAAAAAAAAAAAAAAAAAATCATCAGTTTCCAGAAATTGAAATAAGAATGAAAAAGAGACAATAGGCTAGAAATATGTCCTCTAGCATCCATTATTTTATACACATGGTAGAAATGTATGTGCATCTGAAGTCAAAGCATATCACTTTGCTCTTGCTGTGGTTTAACCTGGCAGGCAGCTAAACACCACACAGCCATTCACTCACACCCCCCCTTCCCAGCAGGATGGGGGAGAGAATTGGGGGAAGGCAAATTTGTGGGTTGAGGTAACGACAGTTTAATAGGACAGAAAAGGAAGGGGAAAAAAAAATAATGATAAAAGGTTGTACAAAACAAGTGATGCACAGCAGAACTGCTCACCACCCACCGACCGATGCCCAGCCATTTCCTGAGCAGCAGCCCTCCCTCTGCCAACCCCCCAGTTTATATACTGAGCGTGACGTCGTATGGTATGGAATATCCCTCTGTCCCATCTGGGTCAGCTAAATACCACACAGCCCGGTGGTATGGGGGAGAAAATCGGGGGGGGGTAAAATTCATGTGTTGAGATAAAAATAGTTTAATAGGACAGAAAAGGAAAGGAAAAAAATTCCAGATGTACTGGACACCTCTCCAAGCGAAAGCGAACTGTGGCCTGCAGTCTGCCACCAAAGGGCTTGAGAAAAACACGTTAGAGATACCAACTGCGGCGTATCACTTGGCTGCCTTTGACTCCAGATCGTACTGAAGTCCTAGCACGTCCGGCACCTGGGCCCCTCACCCAGACCCCCGTT